AGCTGGCCCTCCGCATGGCCGGTGCTCCGAGGAGAACCTCCCACCGCAGCGTTCGGACATGCTGTGGTGGAAGAGTCGCTGAAAGTGCACCGCAGCCTTTTGCGGCACACTTTCGGTAACTTATGAAAGGAGCGCTAATTTAATGCTCCTTTCAGGGGCAGTGAAGCTGCGCTGCAGGATCAAGGCATGGGGATGCCTTGGTCCCGTGGCACAGCTTCCCAGGGCGGCCCATGGCCGCCTGTCTGCTTAGCCCCTGAGGGAATTTACAGACTGCCAGAAATAGTGCAAATTGAGGCCACTTTAACTGTTCTGGCCCAGTGCTAGGGAATTATGGGAATTGTATTTTTTTTCTGAGACATTGAGCCTTTTCTGCCAGAGAACTCTGGTGCCACAATAAACTACAGTTCCCATGATTCTTTAGCACTGAGCCATGACAGATAAAGTGGCCTCAATTTGCATTATTTCTGGCAGTCTGTAAAGGCCCTGAGAGACTCCTCCCTAGCTAACATCATTGCCAAAGCTGCCCTTATTGATCCCTGGGGTAGCCATGCACCCACAAGGTAGGCAATATGCTTTCTCCTCTAACACCCATAAATTATACTCTAGGATTGATTATTATTTCATTTCCAAAGTGATCCTTCCTGAAGTCACTGATGTAAAAATCAATGCTATCTCCCATTCTGACCATGCATCATGAACTAGAAACTTGCTCCTGGCATCCCAAAAACATGGATTTGGAGATTCAACCCCTCCCTCCTATCCAATGTAGACTTTCAAAAGTGAATTAGAGAGACCATTAAGAATTTTTACAAAGAAAATAAAAAGACAGACACATTAGAGGCCCTATTGTGGGAGTCTCTATAAGCAGTAGTCAGGGGTTAACTCATCCAAGCAGGAGCTCAGGAAAAGAAACTAGCGGCCTTGGCAGATGACTAATAGTGTCGTCTCCAAGGCAGGGAAGAGGAGGGGCAGCCATACGATCGGTGCCCCTTCCTCCTCCCGAGGTTGCCCTTGGAGCTGCCGGCCCTCCGCAAGGCCGACACTCTGAGGGCAACCTCCCGCCGCAGCGTCCACACACGCTGTGGCAGAAAAGTCAGGGAAAGTGCGCCCTATGCTTTTAGGGCGCACTTTCACTGACTTCTGAAAGGAGCGCTGATTTAGCACTCCTTTCAGAGGCGCCGATGGTGTGCCATGGTGTGGATGCCACGGTCCCTCGGCGCACTGTCCCGCAGCGTCTCGGACACTGCTGTGTGCTTCCCCTCTTAGAGATTTGGATAGACAAACCCTTATACCCAAGACTCAACAGTTACAACAGCCACGCTCAGCTTGGAGACCCCACTGGTACTGAGATAGGTGTGTTGGGGGAGGTAGGATTTCCCCTGCCTCCCTGAAGAATCATTTGGCCCTTGTTTGAAGCCCCACTGGTATGGAGATATGCTGGGTTTTATCTTCCATTAAAGTTTTCTGGATCCTCCAGCGGTGGAGGTTGATCCCTCCCATCATTTTGGGAAGTTGTTTTGCCTTGAGGTCTCACCGGTGGTGGTGTCAGTGAAGCAGTTGAAGTCCAATCGCTTTTGTTGTTTTGGAATTATCCAGCATTTTATCAAACTTTATTAAATTGGCAGGACCTTAGATATATTTAACAATATTTTATTGGACATTTATTTATTTATTTTTGAAAATTAAAAGAGGGGGAAAATTATTGAAAATTTAATTTAAAATTTAAAATTTGGGAAATTTGAGAAATTTAAATTTGAATATTGATTGTATATTAATTTGTGGTTGTTATTGTTATATTTGAATTTGGGACTTTTAGGGGAATTTTTTTCAAAATTTGAGGAAATTTGAGAAATTTGAAATTTGAGAAATTTAAGAAATTTGAATCAGAATATTGATTTTATGTTAATTTGTGTTTGATATGATGGTTTAAGGTTAGAAATTTAGAATTTGAAATTTAAAAAAAATTGAAATTTGAAATTTGAAACATGGAAATTGAAGAAATTTAAACTTGAATATTGATTGTATATTAATTAGTAGTTGTTATTGTCATATTTCAATTTGGGACTTTTGGGATTTTTTTTGAAAATTTGAGAAAAATTTGTGAAATTTTAAATTTGAGAAATTGAAGAAATTTTAATTAGAATATTGATTTTATTTTAATTTGTGTTTGATATTGTGATTTAAGGTTAGAAATTTGGAATTTGAAATTTGAAAAAAATAAGAAATTTGAAATTTGAAATTTGGGAAATAGAAGAAATTTAAATTTGAATATTGATTTTGTATTAATTTGTAGTGGTTATTGTTATATTTCATGTTGGGACTTTTGGATAAAACTTTTTTTGAAATTTTGAGAAAAATTTGAGAAATTTCAAATTTGAGAAATTTAAGAAATTTTAATTAGAATATTAATTTCATGTTGTGATTTAAGGTTAGAAATTTGGAATTTGGAATTTGGAACTTTTTAAAGAAATTTGAAATTTGAAATTTTTGTAAATTTGGAAAAATTGACTGAAATTGAAATTTTATATTATATATTGATTGTATTTTAATATAGATTTTATACTGTTGTATCATATTTGAAAATTTTTAACATTATTATTTGAAATTTGAGTAATTTGAAGAATTTGAAACAAAGATTGGGGTTATTTATATTTAAGTTTTGAAGGCTTTTTAAATTGCAATATATTAACCCGGGTTTTATAATTTTTAATATTGTTTTTGTTATATTGTTGTTATTGAATTTATAATTTGAAATTTGAAAATTGAATTTGAGAAATTTAGAATTTGATTATACAACCTATATTTGTTTATTAATAGAAGTAGATTAATATAAAAGAAAGGGAAGAGAAATGGCCTCAGGAAAGAAACTTACTCAGATTCAAATCCAGATAACAACTCAAAGAAGAGCATCAATAGATGCACCAAAAGAAGAACCATCATTGTCTTCCATATTGGATGAAATTTGGAATCTTAAAACAGAATTACGACAAGAGATAAAACAGGAATCAATAGATAAAAGGAGATAAATTAAGTATGAAATGAAGAGAGAACTTGGTGCCATAGGGAAAAAATTAGATAAAA